ACCCTCAGTAACTTCAGACCCCATGCTTCTGGTGGAGTTGGGAAAAAGCATAGCAGAAACAGAAAATGCGGAGGATGCAGTATCAAAATACACACAACTTACCGATTACATTACTCCATTATGCCCTTGTATCTAGAACAGCAGAAAACAAGCTTGTCCCATCCTTTGTCATAGTTCCACACTATTCTGCTTTGGTCAGACTTAACCTGGAATTAGACCACGCATGGGCAAACTTTGGCCCTCCAGGTGTTTTGGACTTCAACTCCCACAATTCCTAACAGCCGGTAGGCTGTTAGGAATTGTAGGAGTTGAAGTCCAAAACACCTGGAGGGCAAAAGTTTGTTGCACTCCAAGGCCAGGAACCACCTCTATACTTCACAAACACTCCAGTCCAAGGTAAAATAGCAAAGCGGTTTATTGAAGAAGAGATAATTCAGCAAAATAGTATAAAAACACCAAAGTCCAAATATCAGGAATAATTCACAGAAATCAAAGCTTCTGAGTAGAATCAAAAACTAGGAATACAAAAGCAGAATAAATCCAAAATGTCAAATTCAGAACAGTCCTCAAAACTAGGAATCATGAGACATGAACAGAAGGAAACATGGAACATGGAACTAAAAATCCCTTGACTTGATCATGGATCTATACTCAACACCAATGTGGACTAACGAGCCCATCTGCTGGGCTGGCTAATATAGAGAAAAAATCATGTTGTCTCTCCTGAGAAACTGATAAATATTTCTTGTCTAATAAGTGTTGTGGCCTTCGTACTCTCTCTTGAGAAGCCCTATGTTGACAGACAGTAAATCTCCTATCTAACTGCTCATTAGACTGGTCACCTGGACTTCCATTTCCATCCTCTGAACTCATATCTGCTCCTTGCTTCCCTAGAATCATATAACCACAGAATCAATAAGCTGGAAGAGACCTTATGGGCCATCCAGTCCAACCCCATTCTGCCAAGAAGCAGGAAAATCGCATTCAAGGCACCCCTGACAGATGGCCATCCAGCCTCTGGCTCAAAGCCTCCAAAGAAGCCGCCGCCACCACACAGGGCATATAGTTCCACTGCTGAACAGCTTTTGCAATCTGAAGTTCTTCTTAATGTTCAAGTGGAATCTCCTTTCCTGTAGTTTGAAGCCATTGTTCTGCATCCTAGTCTCCAGGGCAGTGGAAAACAAGTTTGCTCCTCCCTCCCTATGACTCCCCCTCACATCTTGATCCATGACCCTCTTTATGTCTCCCTCTCAGCCTTCTCTTATTCAGGCTAAACATGCCCAGCTCTTTAAGCCGCTCCTCCTAGGGCTTGTTCTCCAGACCCTTGATCATTTTAGTCACCCACCTCTGGACACATTCCAGCTTGTCAACATCACCCTAGTGAACTGCCTTCCAGGAATGTGACCTTCAGACACAGACCGCTCATTTTCAGGGCTTAAAATCTCTTACTGGCTCTCCTGCTGACTTGCAGACCCAGAATCCCCAGTGTCATCAGAATGACTAACAGGCCCATAATCCCCAGAGAGATCAGGTGCAGGCACAATCAAAGGCTGAACTACAACAATGTCTGACTTGTGTCCAGTTGTAGACACCACAATTTGAGAAGGATATGAACTGCAAAGCTGTGAGGTGTTCAGAGGAAGGTGAGCTTATGGGAAGCTTATGAAACTGGGAATGTTTAGCTTGGAAAAAAGAAGGCTGAGAGAAGGGCACATGACAGCCCTCTTTAAACCTCTGAAAGAATGTCACATTAAGGAGGGAGAGGGCTTGTTTTCTGTCACGCTAGAGACTAGGACACAATGGAGCTGTGGATTCAAATTGCAGGAAAAGAGAAAGACAAAAAGGGCTCTGAAACCCCTTTTGCAGCAGACAGCTATTCCCAAGTGCTTTGGGCTGCTCAGGTGTGCTATGTCACCGTTTCCAGAGACAGACGACTTGCTACGCAGGAAATTTAACTGAACTCAGGCTGCATACTAAGGTACCGGGATCATTTTATGAGCATCCCTATTGCAAATTGCAAACAGTCCCTACTTAACTGCCGTTCTCCAGCACTTGGCAAGTCAGAAACTGTGCTCTCTTACAGTGCGTCCTTCGGCCTGATCAGAGAAGAACTTATCTGACATCTTGATGGTGTTGCCTGGCATCTAAATGGTGCTGCCTTTGCTCTATGAAACCGGTTGCATACATTAACAGGGGAGCTAATTATTCTGAGGAGTTCGTGGGTGATAGCACTGACGCAGGAGAGAGCAGCAGGTGGGGGAAATGAGCTCCGCACTCTAGGGACCGGAGGCAGGGATTCCAGTAAGTAGTTTGGATATTTAATCTCACACACACCCCTCAAAAGCCAGCCAGACACCCCAATTCCCCTCCCCTCATACTCCCAATCCAACCCCAAACCATCCAGATTTAGCAGCTCCCTAACTCTTCTAGGCAAGGGAATTTGGGATCAGTAGTCCAGCCAGACAGTTGAAGAACATGGTTCTAGATCTCAGGCCTTCTCACCCCAAAGGGGACTCAGAGCAGCTTGTAAGATATATACACAAACAATATATTATATTATTAGCATAGTACAATATTAGTACTATGTAATATCAGGGAAATGCGAAAGACTGCTCCAACTTCCGTACAGTGGCCCTTATTTCTCATGCCAGTAAGGTAATGCTCAAGATCCTGCAAGGAAGACTCCAGCAATACATGGAGCGAGAGTTGCCAGATGTTCAAGCTGGGTTTAGAAAAGGCAGAGGAACGAGAGACCAGATTGCCAATATCCGCTGGATAATGGAGAAAGGCAGGGAGTTTCAGAAAAACATCTATTTTTGCTTCATTGACTATTCTAAAGCCTTTGACTGTGTGGATCATAATAAATTGTGGCAAGTTCTTGGTGGGATGGGCATCCCAAGCCACCTTGTCTCTCTCCTGAGGAATCTGTACAAGGACCAAGTAGCAACAGTTAGAACTGACCACAGAACAACAGACTGGTTCAAGATTGGGAAAGGCGTACGGCAAGGCTGCATACTCTCACCCAACCTTTTTAACTTGTATGCAGAACACATCATGCGATGTGCGGGGCTTGAGGAATGCAAAGCTGGGGTGAAAATTGCTGGAAGAAACATTAACAACCTCAGATATGCAGATGACACCACTCTGATGGCCGAAAGCGAGGAGGAGCTGAGGAGCCTTCTAATCAAGGTGAAAGAAGAAAGCGCAAAAGCTGGGTTGCAGTTAAACATAAAAAAAACAAGATTATGGCAACAAGAATGATTGACAACTGGGAAATAGAGGGAGAAAACGTGGAGGCCGTGACAGACTTTGTATTTCTAGGTGCAAAGATTACTGCAGACGCAGACTGTGGCCAGGAAATCAGAAGACGCTTCCTTCTTGGGAGGAGAGCAATGTCCAGTCTCGATAAAATAGTAAAGAGTAGAGACATCAGACTGGCAACAAAGATCCATTGCCTAGTCAAAGCCATGGTATTCCCTGTAGTAACCTATGGATGTGAGAGCTGGACCTTAGGGAAGGCAGGAAGATCGATGCTTTTTAGCTGTGGTGTTGGAGGAAAGTTCTGAGAGTGCCTTGGACTGCGAGAAGATCCAACCAGTCCATCCTCCAGGAAATAAAGCCCGGATGCTCACTGGAGGGAAGGATACTAGAGACAAAGTTGAAGTACTTTGGCCACATCATGAGGAGACAGGAAAGCCTAGAGAAGACAATGATGCTGGGGAAAGTGGAAGGCAAAAGGAAGAGGGGCCGAAGCAAGGGCAAGATGGATGGATGGCATCCTTGAAGTGACTGGACTGACCTTGAAGGAGCTGGGGGTGGTGACGGCCGACAGGGAGCTCTGGCGTGGGCTGGTCCATGAGGTCACGAAGAGTCGGAGACGACTGAACGAATGAACAAACAAAAAAAAAAACAACAAAGATGGCAGGGACCTAACAGAACCTAACAGAAGCTGAAGAGATCAAGAGAAGGTGGTGAGCAGTACGTGTGAAAAAGATCTTGGAGTCCTCGTGGACAACAAGTTAAGCATGAGCCAACAATGTGATGTGGCAGCAAAAAAAGCCAATGGGATTTTGGCCTGCATCAATAGGAGCATAGTGTCTAGGTCCAGGGAAGTAATACTACCCCTCTATTCTGCTTTGGTTAGACCACACCTGGAATATTGTGAGGTCTCTTCCAGCTCTTTGATTCTATGATTCTATCTATTATGTGGGTTGTTGTGAGTTTTCTGGGCTGTCTGGCCATGTTCCAAAAACATTCTTTCCTGACGTTTCACCCACATCTATAGCAGGCATCCTCAGAGCTTGTGAGGTCTGTTGGAAACTAGGCAAGTGAGGTTTATATATCTGTGGAATTATGTCCAGGGTGGGAAAAAGAAAGAATGAACTCTTGCTTGTTTTTTCCCACCCTGGACACTCCACATGGGCCATCCAGTCCAAAACCCCTGCCAAGAAGCTATCATATCTCCTCTCAGACTTCTCTTCTTCCAATCCTGGCCACCACAATTCAAGAGAGATATTGACAAGCTGGAATGTGTCCAGAGGAGGGCGACTCAAATGATCAAGGGTCTGGAGAACAAGCCCTATGAGGAGCGGCTTAAGGAGCTGGGCATATTTAGCCTGAAAGAGAGAAGGCTGAGAGGAGATATGATAGCCATGTGTCCTAGTCTCTCCCTCCTTGATGTGACATCCTTTCAGATGTTTAAAGAGGGCTCTCATGTGCCATTCTCTCAGCCTTCTTTCCCCCCCAAGATAAACCTCACTTGCCTAGTTTCCAACTGACCTCACAACCTCTGAGGATGCCTACCAACATCAGGAGGAAATGCTTCTGGAACAAGGCTATACAACCCGGAAAACTCACAGCAACCCAATGATTCTGGCCATGAAAGCCTTCAACAATATATCTAGTATGTGATATTGAAATTTGGCGTAGAACAATAGCCACACAACTGCTGTGTAGCTTGGCACCTTGCAAGCGTGGTGCAGGATGGCGGCCAAGGTTACCTTTGCACGCGGTACACGCGTGTCCACGGCGGCACGAGGGCCAGGATCCTTGCCACCAGGTCCACCAGCGTGCTTGGCGGGTAGCTCTTGTAACGCCCCGTTTTCCAGAGTTCGTACAGCCCCGTGCCACGGATGACGAGAGTCGGGTAGAGCTTCATGCCGTCCGGGCGGAAGGCGGGGTTCTCGAAAAATTCCTGCAGGATGAGAAGCAGAACGGAGAGATGAGCACAAAAGGCCTTGGTTCATTCCAGTCCTTCACACATCTCAATTATCGCAGCTGAATTCTGTGTCGTGCTTTTCTCCCCACACTCCATCGAACCATTTCTTCACACCGTCAACAACTTATGGATTTGGGAGGTTGCGGGCATTATTAGAAGGTGTCATTTGTGGTCATTTAACTCCAATGGCTTTAAAAGGGGATCAGACAATATCGACATATAGGAGCCAACTGTTATATCTCCATTCTGCTCCACTCAATATTTATTGTTTACTTGATTCAATACTATTTGGTAGCAAACTTATGCAGAACTCTATACAAAAGAACGAAAGCAGTTTGACATCCTTTTAACTGCTGTGGCTCAATGGGATAGAATAATGGATAGAATAAGGTCTTGTAAGATATATATACACGAACAATATATTATATTATTAGCATAGTACAATATTAGTACTATGTAATATCAGAAATAAAGATGGCAGGGACCTAACAGAAGCTAAAGAGATCAAGAGAAGGTGGCAAGACTATACAGAAGATCTGTATAGGAAGGATAATAATATCGAGGATAGTTTTGATGGTGTGGTGAGTGAATTAGAACCAGACATCCTGAGGAGTGAGGTTGAATGGGTCTTAAGAAGCATTGCTAACAACAAGGCAGCAGGAGACTTTCATGTGAAAAGGATCTTAGTTGACAACAAGCTGAACAAGAGTCAACAGCGTGATGCAGCAGCTGAAAAAGCCAATGCGATTCTAGTTGCATCAATAGTAGTCTGGTGTCTGGATTGAGGGAAGTGATAGTCCCACTCCATTCTGCTTGGCCAGACCTCACCTGGAATACTATGTCTAGTCCTGTGCAATATGGCCAAGGTGGAACCAAAATGGTCAAAGGTCTGGAAATTATGAGGAACACATTAAGGATCTGGGTCTGTTTAGCTTAGGAGAAGGAACTTTCTGATGGTTGGAGCTGTTCAACCGTGGAATAAACAGCTTGGAAATCTGGTGGAGTCTCCTTCTCTGGAGGTTATTAATTGGAGGCTGGATGGAGTCACGGTAAGAGAGCTGCAGTGGCACAATGGGTTAAACCCTTGAGCTGCTGAACTGCTGACCTGAAGGTCGGCAGTTCAAATCCGCGAGACAGGGTGAGCTCCCATCTCTCAGCTCCAGTTCCTGCCAACTTTGCAGTTTGAAAACTTGCAAATGTGAGTAGATAAATAGGTACCAGGTTATCAAAGGCTTTCATGGCTGGAATCACTGGGTTGTTGTAGGTTTTTCCGGGCTATATGGCCATATTCTGGAGGCAATTTTTCTCCTGACGTTTCGCCTGCATCTATCTATTTGAGAACACAGAAGTGCTGGACCACTCTCACAACCACCATGTCAGACTACACAGAGAAGCCATTGAAATCCACAAGCATGTGGACAATTTCAACAGAAAGGAAGAAACCATGAAAATGAACAAAATCTGACTACCAGTATTTAAAAACTCAAAAATTACAACAGCAAAACAACAGAGGGGAAACAAACAGGCACATCAAATCACTCTCAACAAAAGATTTCCCCCAGGCACTTCCAAACCATTGAATGCTAATCAAGGTGATCAGCTGAAACATTCACACCTAGCCCCAGCAGAAATAAGTCCTTTGTCTCACCCTGGTCATTCCACAGATATATAAACCCATTTTTCCTACTTCCCACAGACCTCACAACCTCTGAGGATGCTTGCCATAGATGCAGGCGAAACGTCAGGAGAAAAATTGCCTCCAGAACATGGCCATATAGCCCGGAAAAACCTACAACAACCCTATTATTATTATTATTATTATTATTATTATTATTATTATTATTATTATCATCATCATCATCATCATCTGTTTGGAGGGCTTCAACTGTGTCTTTCTGCACGATAGAGAGGTTTTGAATTGGATAGCCCTGGGGGATCTCTTCCAATTGTATTATTCTATATACCACTCATAGGTGTACCTATTACGCTTGCCTTTGTTCAAGGAAATGGCAGACCCTGTATATCAAGAGCTTGACACCTCACTGCAAAGAAAGCAAAGACTTTAGGTCACCCACTATTGAAAATGCCAGGTTTTCTGAGCTGGGGAGTCCTGTTTTCTTTTGGACAGGACAACTGAAAACACATCTATATCCTGCATACACAGACACACACCTGAGAGCAGCACACCCTCTCAGCTCATGAGTTGCTAGCCGCGACATGTATTATATAGTGGGAAATGGCTGATTTCACGAGCAGAAGCCGTTGCGTATTTTAAAAGACGACGCTCCCCGCTGTGATTACCGTTAATGGCACCAACGCGTCTCATTCACCCCCGCCCCTGCAAACCCGCCGGCATAAATAATCAGGAGATGATTGGGACAAATTAGTCACTTTGGTGCCAGGAATCAGGTGATTTTCCATCCGCGCCCGTCACTCAATGGCAGTGACACAGCCGCCTCTCTTCCCCCGCCAATCAGGCGGGTGATTATCTTGAAGTCACAGGATAAATATCGAGGGGAATTAGTCACCTCTGTCCCCATTTCTGCTTTGGAGATATTGTGGAACAGCCGGGAAAGAAAGTGGAGTAGTAAGGGAAAGCCCTGATTTTGGACTGAAACTTTTAGTTGGGATGTTTCATCATATGAGGTGGTCTTGCCCAAAAGGCCCAGAAACACTGGACTAAATGGAAGAAATAGTTAAGTTTAAAATCATGGTGAATTATCACTGGGTGTCTGCGCCCTACACCACTGGAGAAATTACACTGCATAGCCGGTATTGCACCACCTGACATCCGCCAGGAAGTAGCAACCAATAGTGAAAGGACCAAGGCAGAGACATCTCCAGCTCATCCCTTGTTTGGGTATCAGCCACCACGTCAAGGACTTAAATCAAGAAATAGCTTTCTAAGATCTACAGAGACACTCGCTGGAACATCTCAGCAAGCGAGAGTCCAAAAGTGGCAGGCAAAAACCGAGAACCTCAATCCATGGCTGATACTAAATGAGAGACTCCCCCCTGGGCACACAGAAGACTGGGCGACTTGGAAGGCACTGAACAGACTGCGCTCTGGCACCACAAGATGCAGAGCCAACCTTAAGAAATGGGGCCACAAAGTGGAGTCCATGACATGCAAGTGTGGAGAAGAGCAAACTACAAACCACCTGCTGCAATGCAACCTGAGCCCTGCCACCTGCGCAATGGAGGACCATCTCACAGCAACACCAGAGGCACTCCAAGTGGCCAGATACTGGTCAAAGGACATTTAGTATAATGCCAAGTTTTTAATTTTGTTTGTGGTTTTTCTTTACATTTTAACTGTATTCGCAATTCACTTCTGGCACGATAAATAAATAAATTGGCCTTTAAACATCTGACAATTTATTGTGAAGGCGGGCTATTATTTTCAGGCCATTTTTGCCCAACACCATAAAGAGAAGTGTCAGAAATGTGTGAAAAAAGTGGAAATATCCCCTTGCCTTTACAAGCTTTGTGGACACTGTTTTAAGAGTCCTTGAAGCTGGTTTGTATGGATATAAAATATTTCCATGCTGAAACAGGGCAATTTTCAGGAGTCTTAAAACATCCCTTTTTATTTATCACTAGCTGTACCTGCCACGTGTTTCTGTGGCCAACCTTTCCTCTCTTTCTCTCCTTTTTCTCTCTCCTTCCTTCCTTCCTTCCTTCCTTCCTTCCTTCCTTCCTTCCTTCCTTCCTTCCTTCCTTCCTTCCTGCCTGCCTGCCTGCCTGCCTGCCTGCCTGCCTGCCTGCCTGCCTGCCTTTCTTCCTTTTCTTTCTTTCCCTTTCCTTTCTTCCTTCTCTATCTCTTTCCTTCCTTCCTTCCTTCCTTCTTTGCTTCCTTCCTTCCTTCTCTCTTTCCTACATTTTTATACAGAGAGATCTCGAAACTTTAGGTGTATCCATACCAGGCATGGGCCAACTTTGGCCCTCCTTCCACATGTTTTGGACTTCAACTCCCACAATTGCTGTTAGGAATTGTGGGAGTTGAAGCCCAAAATATCTGGGGTCTGAAACTGGCTTATGCCCGACTTAGAGAGATCCACAAATACTTCTGGAAGATATATTATTTATTTATTTATTTATTTCGAGGTTTTATATACCGACCCTCTCACCTTCAAAGAAGGATTCGGACCGGTTCACAACATGTGTTAACATACAAAGAATATACAATAACAACACAATGCCACTTCATTACATGATTAAAATATCAGCACCACACAAATTAAAACATTATCATCCCAGTTAAAAGAGCCAAATCGTCTGACACCATCACAATCCCATTCATCATCCTCCTTTCATGTGGGCAAAGAATTAAATCATAATGTTGAAAAGGTTAAAGACTTTGCCAAACTACAAATCCATGACCACATAGCATTGAGCTATGGCAGATAAAAATGGTGCCCAACTCATTCATTCGAAAGTGGAGATGCACTCCTTGAATACTAAAGTATCTTCTTAGAAAGGATGGAGGGTCTGGAGAACAAACCCTATGAGGCATGGCTTAAGGAGCTGGGCATGTTTAGCCTGAAGAAGGGAAGGCTGAGAGGAGATATGATAGCCATGTATAAATATGTGAGAGGAAGCCACAGGGAGGAGGGAGCAAGCTTGTTTTCTGCTTCCTTGGAGACTAGGACGCGGAACAATGGCTTCAAACTACAAGAGAGGAGATTCCATCTGAACATGAGGAAGAACTTCCTGACTGTGTAAGCCGTTCAGCAGTGGAACTCTCTGCCCCGGAGTGTGGTGGAGGCTCCTTCTTTGGAAGCTTTTAAACAGAGGCTGGATGGCCATCTGTCAGGGGTGATTTGAATGCAGTATTCCTGCTTCTTGGCAGAATGGGGTTGGACTGGATGGCCCACGAGGTCTCTTCCAACTCTTTGATTCTATGAAAAGAGATGAAATTCTGCTAGAGCCTCTACCCCTGAAGAAATGTCCACCTGAGGAAGGTGAATGGAAAA